TTTTACTCCGAGATGCGTTTACGTTCGCGTGTGAATTTAAACGTTGCGCGTAGGTGTTATGTATTGAAATACAAAATTTTACACGCGAAACGGCCGTGCACGTGTTTTTAAATATTTTTCCCCGCTCCTCGTACAAATGCAAAGCGAAACGCCTGCGTTTGCGATTTCTAGATGAGATTTCTAAATCGAATAAATATTTTTCAGGTCTCCATGCAACCGGACGTGCCGACGTGCGTCTTCTTCCTGTCCATGCTGAACTACTTTCAACTGACCAATTACTTCTGGATGTTCGTGGAAGGTAATCACCATTCCACCGCTGATTTTCGATCGACGTCCCTTCGGCGGAAATTTTGATCACGATTCTGAATTTTTGAAAACGTTTCAATTGAAACAAAAAAAAAAAAAAAAAAAAAAGAAGTAGAACTATTTTTGCTTTGTACCATTGTGTATTATACTCGCTCGTCGAATTCATCGAATCGAAAAACTGTGAGCGCGAATTTGACGAGAGAGAAGCGCAATTGAATTTTTAAGAACGACCGAGACACTTTAATTGAAAGAAACAAATTGTACGCGTGAATTTCTACCGTGTGTATGTGTTCATCGAAATCGGAGAAATACACCGTGTACTGTTCGTTTTCAGGGCTGTATCTGTTCCTGCTGGTCGTGAAAACTTTCACGGGCGACAACATCAAGCTGAGGCTGTGTATCATTATAGGCTGGGGTAAAGTTTCGCGACGCCGTCTTACTTTCTTCTTCGTTGGAGCACGTTCGCTCGGTGAACGTGACGAGGAACACACATTGTCCACACGACAGCTTCGTATTTTTCGCGTGACGGGAGAATTTCATATCTCTCGTGGACCACAGAAATTTAATATATTTGAGGGAAATTCTACGAATTTTCATCGCAGAGGATTCGAGACTCTTAGAAAGTGACTTTTAGAATTTCGTTTAGAACTTAAAATCCTCCGTCGGTGAACTTTTCGTATTCTTCTCGAGCGGAGAGATTACGAAGAAGAAAAAAAACGTTCGGAGACTTTTTTGTAAAAATTTCAGTTCACTTTGGATCATTTCCAGACGATTCTGGATCGTTTCGTCGGAATGCTGAACCGAATGAGAAAGTTGGAAAAATGGGAAAGTTTGATTGTCAGTAACTAGGTCTGAATGACTGAGACTTAAACGTGCATTGAAAAATACACGCGCGCGACATCCACATTCGAAGACACCTAACAATCAATTTCCTGTCTCCACTCGATGCGCTCGCAAATCAATATCGATGCTTTCAACTCCGCGCAGCATCGCTGCTGAAAGTAAAAACCATTCGATCGTCGAGGCACACCTGACCCGATCACGCGAAATTTGGAAAAAATTTGGAAACTCTTCTGAATCCGCTCGCAGAATTTGGAATTCTTCGTGCGACTTTTTACTGTCACCGACAACGTAGTATCCTCTGTGTGACATAAATATTTTATCTGAGCTGCTTGTAATCTTTTGCGAATTTTCTTTTTCCTTTTTTTTTTTTTTTTTTGTGTAAATTTCCTTCCGTAATTTTGTGACACATTTGATATACGTCATAAATATAATAAATATATATAATATATAATGTAAATGTAATATAATATATAATGTAAAAATAATAACAATACGTCATAAATAATTCATTTTGCAATAGGCATGATTTTTCATAACAAGAAATTATTCAATTATGAAATGGAAATATTCTTATTTTTATAAATAATACTAATATAAAATTTATTAAAATTTATATTAGAAAATAAATGAAAATAATTATTTGTAATTAAAAAAATATATAAATATAATAGATGATAAAGATGAAATTGAATAATATAAAATTCTAATTATTTTTGTAATAATAATTTAATTATTAAAATTATTGAAAATTCATAAATAATTCATTTTATTATAAAATTATCAAATATTAATAATAAAATTGTACAAAAATATATTTTAAAAAAGTTAAACTCTATTATTTTATTTATCTCTTTTAGTTCTCTCAAAAAATTTTTGACCTCGAAATTCAAGATCAATTTTACGGCAGGTTTTTTTATATGTATTTCCATCAAATCGAAGATGTAGAATTCATCTGTGACAGCCACGGACAAATTTTTCTTTCAACCGTGACTATTTTATTTCTAAGCATCTCAGATTAAATGCACGAACGATAAACATCGTAACTTCATAAGTGTATAATTTCAGGTATGCCGGTCCTCTTTATCGCCATGTGGGCTATCGCCAAGTCGTTGGATCACAACGTCACGAACCATCCAAACCAGGTATGGCAAATCGTTTTGTGGAAAACTCGCAAAAAAAAAAAAAGAAAAAAACGACTATTAAATATTACAGTGATTGCCAAAGAAATTATCAAAAAATTTTAGAACGAAATAATATTATGATTTGTAAAACGTAAGTTTAAATTATGACTAAAATTAGATTATAAATATTTCAATGATGGCTGAAATTAAATTATAAATACTTCAATTATCACTAAAATTAAATTATAAATACTTAAATTATAGCTGAAATTAAATTACACAAATTACTTGTAGATAGTAAATTCTACATATAAGAAGTATACAGGGAATTAATAAATAGTTCTTCGCATAGTTCTTTGCACCGTAAAGCTTTAAGGAATGGGATTTTTAATATCGCAAGCTATGCAAGAAATGTAAAGCACGCTGCGAGTCTCGTCCAACTGTGTGAGTTGCTCGAAAAGAACAGCCGAGAGGAAAATTTACAAGAGCCTCCAATTCCATCGTGCGAACAGCGATAGTATCGAGATCGAGGAATGTGAACGTGACGTGAATATGAAAAAGCACGGACAAAGAAGAATATTTTCGATACGTTACACCGGGAAGAGATATCCTCCGGAGAAATAACGCGTCAATGAACTCGTTTAACCAAGAATGTTTCATCTTTGATTTGAAACTTTCACCGTGATAAATTTTACTCGAAAAAAGAAATGAAGTTTCGGAGATATTTTTCGAGCATGCTGTTACTCTTTGCACGAAAAAGAATTTATCTATACGAACAACTTTGATTTTTAAATGTTAATTAATTGAAGTTTCCGGTAGTAAAAGATAATATTTGTTTAATCGGAGAATTAGAGGATCATTAGAAAATTTCAGTGCAACAATTGTCCATAACTGATTCTCAATCGTTCGTCGATGAATTCGGTAAATCTTAAAGCGCAGAAAACGCACGAAATACACGTATCTCTGGTTTCATATTTCCAATATTTAATACGTAAAACATTTCTCTCTACCTCCCTCGAACTTTAAATTCCCAACAACGTGAATTTGCATTCTCGGCTGCGTCCCCCGTGAAAGGAATTCATAGTGATTCGAGCAAGTTTTAATTCACCGTAGTCGCCGTAACCGTTCCCCGGCGATTTAAAATTACCCGTGAAATTTCTCGTGGAGAACTCGCGGAGAACACTGTTCCGAGCGTGCCTGGCCAGAAAAAGTTTACTCGCGACGTGTCTCACCCGGCGAGTAACTAAAGTCAACGAGATGAAACATCATCGGGACGACGTTGCGCCACAGGGAGAAACTGACTCGGCAACGTTCGCTCGTTAAAGTTAACGGAGAGTTGGCTTGGTATAATAAATGTTCACAGTAATAATAAATGTGACCGACAATGTTCGCAGGAAATCGCGCTGGGCAAGCACTGCCCCTGGATGGTGTCGCACGCTTACGACTGGTTCTATCAAGCACCTGCCATTTTGGTCTTGTGCATCAACGTCGTCTTTCTCTTCATGATCATGTGGGTCAGTATCATGCGGCAAAAAAAAAGAAACGTCTTCTCTTTGTTCTTTCTCTTTGTTCGACGAACGCAGCCGTATTTATCAGATAATCGCTGAATTAAAATATATATTATTTATGTTATTTATATATTTATATATAATTATATATATATTTATATTATAATATATATTTTATAATATAAATATTATAATATAATATACATTATAATATTTATATTATAATAATATATAATTTATAAAATATATTTATATTATTATTATAATATTATATTATTTAAATATTATAATATTATATAATATAATATTATAATTATATTATTATTATATTATATTATATATATTATGTAATGATAATATATTATATAATTATTATATTATTATATTATTATTATAATTATTATATTATTATATTATTATAATTATTATATTATTATTATATTATAATATAATATATTATATTTATATTACATTTATATTATAAATATATATATATATTTATATTTATATTATTGAATTATTATTTATATTATTGAAGAATCAAAACGCGGAATCGCGTGTCGTTGGCTCACGAATGGACGCGAGCTTTTATAACTTTTTTTTTTCTCAATCGACTTCAATTTCAACTTCGTCAAACGTCGAATTTAATTGCAAAGTTGGAACATCAGAGTTCATTAACATAACGAGTAATTAACCGCCGGAATGAAATTCGAGGCATAATATTTCTATTGAATATTTTCGCGAGTTCTGCTGTATATTTTCGGGATCGTTGCGTCTCGCCGAAATTTCAGAAAATGTTTCGCACAATGTACACGTGATTTTTTTGGAAAATGTTCTTACTGTGGTATGGTTCGAATACCTTCGTGAGCAACTGCACTGGAAAAAGAAAAAGTGATCGTGAAATTGATAAAATACAATGGTAGCAGTATAACAGTCGAAGCAAATAGAATACAATGGTGATAGTAATTAAAGGAATTTTCAAAATTATATAAATGATATTATAAAGATTGCGTCAGCAACAGGATCATTACTAACAGACATCCCTCTCATTCGTTGCCATTCTAACAATTCTTCGTTCCAGGTGCTGATAACGAAGCTGTGGTCGGCGACGAACGCAGAAACGCAGCAATATCGAAAGGCGAGTAAAGCGTTGCTCGTACTGATACCACTTCTTGGAGTAACTTACGTACTAGTGTTAACGGGGCCGACGGAGGGTCAGGTTGCTAATGCATTCTCCTACACTCGAGCCGCGTTCCTTTCTTCGCAGGTAATGCAACTGCAACACATATCTCGTTACAAAAGCCAGCTTGCCCCGCGGAAGGGGTAGAAAAGAAGAAACTCGAAAAAGGGACTGGTCTCTGCATCGCCAGACGTTTGTTTCCTGCTTTTCTCTATGATGAAACATGGATGAGTCCGGGGGATTCTTTCTGGCATTGTTTAATTCCCTTTTTCTAGTTCTTCGTGCGTCATTGTGCTCCAAAGTGCGCTGGCAGTCGTGTAGTTTTTGACAGAACATAATTCAGTTGTAAGTGTACGGACGAGAGAGGCCAGGACGAGTTCATCTTTTGTTAGAACTGACGTAGACAATTATGGACACGGTGCAATTTATCTGTGAACGTTGTTACGCAATAATGAACGTCATGTATAGAATACTATAGAGCAGCTTTGTCATTTAGAAGAAAGTATTATCCACGAGATACGATAGAAAAATTCATCTGCAATTAATGTTTTAATTGATAAGATGAGAACAATTTTATTATTTTTTTTTTTTTTTTGTAAGTAATCACACGAAATATGGAAGGTGCGAATGTATGAAAAAATTCAAGTTTATTATACATAGTCGGTGAGATTTCTCTTACAATATTGAGCGTATGGATTTTTTCTCTTCTTAAAGTCTAAAGTTACGAGCAAAATGATTTTTAATCACAATTCTAAAGATTCGTGAGATTTACTTCAATTTTCCAAGTGTCCCGATATAAAATAAATATTTTAATATGTCACCGTTAATATTTATAAATGGAGGTGTCATCGTATCATGTTAAGTAACTCGAACGCAACAATATTTACAAATTACATTTCACTCGTATCCGACAATTTTTCGCCTTTTCTGACAAAATCTATTGAGCTGTTGGAATCAAAATATCAATTTGTCTGTTCGTTGATATGTACAATTCATAGCTTAAGAAATTTGAATCCTTCTCCTTCCTTCCAGCGTAGTTTTACTTTACTGATCTCTCTAGTAGCAGGATTTTTACCTGTAAAAATACAAAACATATGTTGTAGAGAATTATCGTAAAGTAGCATTCTCAACTAATATAAAAAGAAAAAAAGCAATCAAACAAGTTTGTCAACAAAATCTCGAAAGTGAAAAACTGTCAAGACAAGAGTTGGCAAATACTTATTTAAAAAATATTCCTTTCTTGTCAAACATTCTGGAATATATTCGGGAAAGATTCAGATTTTCCATTCTCTACAGGTTTAATCCATGAAAAATTACGCGAGCCTCTTGTAGATAAGATAAGTATACGCGGTGACATGGAAACCGACACACGTCCATAAATCCTTTTAATCTCGTTTATTTTATCGGATATGGGAAACTTTAAAACCACGTCGATGCAAGTATCTTCGAGAGAATCTAGCATTCGTGGAAAAATTCTGTGGAATTTATACAAAATGCTAGCACGAAATTCATAGAAAATACAAACCGATAATGTAATCGTACGTGCAGTACCTTTCGCAAAGTCACTTTATCAACGTAATGTGTCTTGAAACTTGTCAAAGTTCAAAGCTTTTTCGTAGATAAAGTATTTCGAAAAGAAACCACGCATCCTTGGAATTACAATTTTCTATCAAACTAGGTTGGAAGAAGAGAAAATATCTCGCACAACCGCGGTACTTATTTCGAGTTAATAATAAAGTTAGTAACGGATCAAGCATTAAAAGATGATTCCAAACTTTTGGCCAGTGACGTACACGTTGCCAGGAATAAATTCATGAAAGAAAAGTAGGTCACTGATGGAATATTCATAAGAGAAATCAGATGGAATATAGTGGAGAAATATCCGCACAATGAAATTCGGTTGCGGAATTTTTTTCTCAACTACAGTATCGTCAACTGCAGTATTATTCAAGAAAATTTGTTTTTAAAAAGAAAGTATCGCTTTCGAAAACGTACCAAAAATTTACAACATCAAATTTCGAATAAATTATTGAATTTAGAAAAGAAAATCTTCGGGGATTTCTAATTCTCTGATTTGTAAGGAAATTCTCCTAAAAAAAAAAAAAAAAAACAAAATCGAGAATCGACTCGAGACAGACGCTGCTTATACTCTAGCGGATACTTTGGTGTTTTCAGGGCCTGTTCGTTGCGTTATTTTACTGTTTTCTAAATACCGAGGTGCAAAACACGGTGAAACACCATATCGAACGATGGAGCACAGCCCGCGATCTGGACACAGAAAGAAGGTATTATAACAATTGGTCCCCCCGTTCGAGAACAGAGAGTATAAGGTATTCTATTCCCTCTTACTCCGTAATAAATCACTTCACTTTCTCTTTCACGTCATTTCGTCATGCGATATCTCGTCTTTTCGAAAAACTTCCACTGTGCAAAATGATTGTCGCGAATTTAGAGAAAATGTGAGAGACAATTTGAGACGTTTAAATGGGGACGATTTGAGGATGGTTAATCGCTTTCGGATTCGTTAACCGTGTGATTTACAGATTGTACTGTCCACCGTCGAACCCGTACAGAAAAAGGGACTCGTCCGTAAGCGAGACGACCACAACGACCGTGATAGGATTAAACTCGACGACCACGTTCCTAGATAAGTCGAAAAAGGCGATTTCCGAGGATCTGAACGAATAGGGACGATTCTAATTCCAACGATGATCCAGTTGGAACGATCATTAAAACTATTATCAACACGTTGAAGATGTCGTCGAGCGAATCAAGATTTTAAGAGATGTTTATTCTTTTTCCTCGTTTGTTGCCTCCCTTTTTTGTATCAGCGAGATACAAAGGATGGAAACAATCCCTTGAGATGACTTCGAAGGAAGTTGTCGTTTAGAAAACAAATGAATTATTGCTAATTTTATAAATATCGGGAAAGGAGAGAGGACATAGAGAGCCCGAGAGGAAAAAGAGATTATTATTATTATATATATTGGGAAAATAAAGTTGAAAATTAGTTTCAATGAAAGTGAAAGAAAATGAAAATACACTTTATCGTTAGTTTTGACAAATATTTTATATACCACTATATCTTTAATTTATTTTCATATATTTTCACTTTCTTTGGTTTCGTTAAGACTCGAATTTTTATTGTACTCTGGAATCAAATGTTTCTTTCTCAATATAATATTTCTACAAATCAAGAATATTGTTGTAATAGAAATTAATTGTGAATGAATAATTCATTAATATAATCTCTTTCTTTAAAATTCTGCAATTCTATGCTCATGTTTTATTTATATATAAAGATATATACGTAACGAATGCATTAAAACGATGCTTCAGTTCAACCACTTTCAAGCTCTGACTTATTTTTAATTTCACAATCAACCGTCCGATCTTCACGATATTTATAAAATTATCAGTAATTAATTAATTTTACAATCTTCCTAAAATATACTCGATATATATATATATATATATATATATATATATATATATATATCGAAATATATTTAATATATATGAGATATAAATTCAGGTTTGTTAAAACACAAACAAGCAAACAAACAAACGAGAAACAACAAACTCGTCTAGTAGGTCTCGAAAATGAAAATATTCAATTACTCTCTTCAATCGAATTGAAATTAAAACAATAAACACAGGCAAACGAAGAAACAACAAGCAAAGAGAGCATTCCCACAGGAGTATTTCTCAGATCTCTGGTGCTTACACTTTCAGGGGAACAATTATCGTCGTATCGATTCGTCGTAAGGAATGGTTGGAGAAATTAAAAAAGATCCTAAGATATGCGGCAATGCTTCAATATTTTATTATTTCGTATTACCATTTTTGCGTTTAGGAAAAGGATGGCATATATTCTCACCCATTCACACGCTCCATTCACGCCTCGTCACATTCATGTCTCTCCTCCACATTCGCTTCCCTCCGTTTTCCTTTTTTTCTTTTTTTTTTTTCTTTCCGTTTTTTATTCTCCCTTTCGTTTATTTTTTTTTCTTTGTTTGTTTGTCTCTCTCTCTCTTTTTAGTATCTTTATTTCAGTTTCACGTCAGTTGAGTTCGAGGGAAACGCGAACGCGTTCATTTTCGGAGAGGGAAAATCAATTTTCCTGTTTAAATTCTACGACACCCATCATCAAACTTCCACGAGCGGACTCCTGTAAAAAAGAAAAAATCGTGAGAATTCCTTTTTTTCTGTTGTGCTATGTCGCTTTGTTATCGTTCGCTCAAACGCAAATATCTCGGTCAAATTGAAAAACTGAAGTCGATATAGTTGAAGAAAGAAGAAATTTCCGTGAAGAAAGTTGGCAATTCAAAACTGGGTAATAGTTTTAGAAACGAAGTATTGTTGTTACATATGGGTGTTCTCTACTATTTTTTAATACTAAGTGAATTAATATATTAATATGTATGATTTAAAAATTAAAAATTTATATATATATATATATATATATATATATACTTCAATATAATTATATTCTTGTAGTTAAAAATTGGAAGACTGCTTCGCATTATTCACGTCACAATTTTCTGACGTTTTACCCAGTTTCGATTGCAATTAGGAAAAGATAAAGAAATCCCTAAAAAATAAAACAATTCTGTCCTCAAAAACGTACATCAATATCGCTCTGTGTGGATAATATCTCTGATATGGATTGTCAATTGTATGGCAAACAAAAAGTAAAGAATTGTCAAATATTAAGAAAACTTTAAGTTATCTTATAAAAGAGAATATACTATATTGTCTGTACATCTGCACGGAAAACTATTTTAACGCAAAATTCATTAAAACACTAAGAAATAACGCGCTTAAAGAAAATATGTCTTTTAGCTTAATCATGTTGTTGTTGCACAAATTTGTGATCGTCTGTGTATACGTATCATTTTTGCTTTGGAAATACAAATAAATGAAGAAAGAATAAATAAAATAAACGATATAGTTATATATTTATAAAACGAACTAATTGTCGTATTTGTATCGATATTTCAATATAAGAAAAAGAAAAGTTTATTTATTATCGTAACAAACTGTTAATTGAAAACATTATTTATTTTGACTCCATTGTAAGCGTGAAAGCTTTATTGAGTATCGAAAATATATTGTAAATACTTATTAACAATTGCTTCCGTAAAACATAGAGCATCATACAAGTCCGTGTACATATCGCAAAATTTTCCATTTTCTCACGTTATTTAATGATACCAGATGATTGACTACCGTATTTTACATGTATTAAGATTTATAAAATGTGTTACACAATATCATATATGTATATATGCGTGTGCATGTAACTATAAAAAAATTTCAAGAACACTGCAATGGCTGACACTAATTGTATGGATCGACTATCTCTTTGGAGAAATATAGATGTATGTGTGCATACGTATAGGTATACATATATATACACATAAATGTGTATTGTGTGTATGCATGTATAAAAGAAAGATAAAATAATAGTTCCCCATTGGTAACAGAAGAGCACGTTACTCGGGGTTCAAATTTTGTCCAAAGATCCAAAAAAATAAAACATATTAAGTAGTTATGCAAAGATGGTACCTGATATATCCTGAAACTTTATTTTTGCGTTAAAATAAAAATTAAACGAGCTTGTATTTTATACAGATTGAAGCTTAACGTAAATTGATCCAAAACTATCAATACTAAAGAAACGAAAAATATTAGAAAAATAAAAGTATATCAAATATCGAACCCAATTATAAGCCGTGAAACAATGAGTAAATTGAAAATTTTCTGAGCAATATATGTGTATGATGTAAAATTTGTATTTGCAAATTTAATTCGCAATAATGTGACAAGCAAATGATCTTTGGACCTTACGAAATCACCCCTTTAATAACGCTATCAACTTAATATTTATTTTACTATGCATCAGGCGATCTGTAAATGTTTATTAAATAACTTCGTATATACAAATTTCAATAGAGAAAAAATTAGAAAAGAATCATGAATAATATACGTTATTCAATGTGTTGTCGTTTTGAACTACCATTTAACATATGCCTATCGATATAAGAACACAGTTTCATTAAGACAGTGTTGTCTTATGTTACGCTAAATTGAACTAAATTGTTTCACGGTGAAAAATCCGTTTAATAAAGATGATTAAATACCATCTCTCACGAATTACAAATGAATATCATAAGCAGTCGGAAAAATTTCGATTTCCTTCTCAGTATAAAAGTCGTGCTAGTTAGTTAAAATACCCATACTTATATTGGTGAAAAGAAGATTAGTTTGCAGTCACAATTTTTAACACATGATATTACTTTTACTCGACACAATAACATCAACAGGATAAATTTTGAATATAAAAGAAAAAATCTTCTACATGGAATGTTGATAATACAAGAACATAAAAAGAATATAAAAAGAGAAAAACAGTACTACTATTTAGATTATGAAACGTATTTGTATGAATTATCTTTGTTTTTTTTTTTTACATTCAATGATTTAATATTACAATAATAACTACTGTATTATTCATATTATTACCGTGACCATTTTATGTAAGACCTAACGATACTTTGTACAAGTTTTATGATACAAATATATTACGACAATTCAGTTTATATACCATATAACATTATACTTTTAGTATTACACCTTTCATGGATTAAACCTTTTTCCCTTTTGAAGGCAATTATTTTATTTATATGTAATGTCATTGATAAAAGAATCTGACTGCTTTCAAATTCAAAAATTTCTTTTTTTCCACGTGGTACCGGGAAAATAGAAATCTACACACTTATGCACCTCCATCACAAACATACTTCACACCTATTCACTTTGAAGGTATTAACCTCGAAGTATCCTCGTGATTCTGGTACTTTGGTTTTCCATGAGTGAACGGTAGATATCTGTATTTGATCATATGCTGTAAACAAATTACAAATTAATTACTTTATATTTTTCATTATTATTCAATTAATCAACTTAATTAATTTAGATAATTCAAATAATTAACTAATAATGTAAAGCAATACGGAACTAAAAAACTATATCACAAATTGAATTATGAAATTAATATATTGCTCTACCTTTATTTGACGCTTCATAGTAATGCAAAATAGTGTTATGAAGTACATGACAAGTATGGGCCAAAATACTGGTATATTGAAACAATCAAACATAGTACATATCATAGCAATAACTGTAGACTTCATCACAGAATACCAGAATTTAAATTCAGGTAACCTTCTAATAAACGGCCTAAATTCCTCATTTGATCTTGTAGGTAATTCTGGTCCATCACCATCTATTAAGAAAGCTCTGTTAAAAATGTGTTGTGAAAATGAAGTTGAAATTGACATTGAAGTGTTAATATTACAAACTACAACTCGTTACATGAAATTCTAATATTATAATTTCTGACTTTTGATTTCATCTCGTATTAATAAATAATAACTTTCATGAATTTAAACACTTACCATCAAAATCCATTGCAGGATCAATTTTAGGAGTAAGGAATGCTATGAATAAATTTAGGTGATAAATTGCTAGTGCATATGTGACTATGTACCATCCCTAAAAATAGGAGAATATATTAGAATTTATAAAAAGAAGAGAGTAGAAAGAAAGAAAGAATGTGCTTAAACTTTAACTTACTTCTGAGATGAATATACGCAGAAAAAAAGCAAGTACTAGGAAAAAAGCAACTGTCCATCTTGATATAACATGAGGAGTCCAAAGGTCCAGGTATCTTTGATATAACTATAACATAAATACATATACACATTAATACCATAAATATATTTTCGAAGTAAAAGATTACAAGTAAAATAAACTACAAGTAATGACAAAATGAGGTTTAAGTAAATACCTGTGATATTCTTCCTATTGCTTGACTGAAAACATTTCGTCTTGCAGGACCACCCAGATGCTCATCTTGCATCATTTTACCTTCCTACAATAAAAATTTTTATTTATCGTGATTACAAATTCGTATATAAATACGTTGCAATATTCCTATCAAAATATATACATCTAAACCATATGTAACTTGTAATAAAATTTATTTATTACACAAATGTTTCAATTTCATAAATGTTATATATATTTAGAAATAAAATATTACATTATAAAGATATTCTTAATTTCTTAAATAAATACAGACAAGAACCAGATGTAAGCAATTAAATATTAAATATCTTACATAAAATTATAAACTTAGGAGTAAAGAATAAAAGTCAATTAAAATCTGTTTGAAAACCATTAATGAAACTTTATTAAGGAATTTAATTAAATACCCCATTATAATGTAACAAATACATTTTTCTTTCTATATTGTAAAATACATTTACGCAAGTAAATCTAAATAAAAAAAGTACATGTATTTCAGAAACAAGCGAACAAGAAATATAATTACAATGAAAAATTGTTGAACATTTAAATAAGTAACATTAAACGTCCAAGTGAATAACAATTCACGTTTACAGGTATGATTTGATAATTAAGGGAAACTCTTAACATATCGAATTATCAAAACGAATTCAAGGTTGCTAAAATATAAGACTTCCCAAGTAACAGTTTGATCGAACTTTTTCAAATGATAAGAACTGAAAATCCGCATAAAATCTCGGATCTCTGTTTATTAATTGCATTAATATCTTTTTTTAGGTAATTGGGTATTCGTTTAGAAAATTAACAGTATTTTCACACGTTCCGAGTGCCATGGACTGAACAATGTAACACATAACCTCTTCATCTTAAAGTGATCGTAAGTTTAGATTGTAAATTGGAAATAAATTGAAAATGAATAACATTTACCTGAGGTATTTGTACGTTTTCAGCCAATTTTCGCGATTAATTCACTATTTGTTAAAAGTTAAAAAAAAATAACACGTCACAACATTAATGGCATACTTTGATTAGATGTACTATAGAATTTACAAGGTGTTTCAACTTATCTCCTGGCTCCTGATATTGTATCACAAGAGCGAACAACTGTTAAATCTGATTCTTATGTAACGAACTATACGATTTACATCAATTTGTGATTGGTGACGTATTTACATCAAGTTACTGATCCAGATCTTTTAGAACGCATAATCGCAACCGCTCCCTACGTGTACTTACTGTGACGACTTTTTCATCATACTTATTTGTTAAGTAACTCGCCATTATTTCTAAATATTTTTCTGTTTATTTTATTGACAAAATAATTTTACAATTGAAAAAAATTTTATAACAAACGCAAATCTCACAATTCCAATGCAATAACATACTAATGAAAAAATTAAAAGTCTAAGAAATCGAAATCGCAAGATTCGTTTTTTTTTTTAATTCTTTAAACATTTTGTGTTTTTTATAATTGTAAATATTCTTGTCACTTTATATATTATTGAGAATAATATATCCTGAATTTTCAAAACACGATACATACAAATGTAAGTCCAAACGTATAAATTTTTAATTTGCGTTCATAAAATATACCAAGGCAAGTATGATTAATCGATCAACGTATAAAATAATTAATTATTACATATATACGTTTCTATATGTATGAAAAAAAGAAAGAAAAATCAAATCAACATTTGATAATGTTTCGTTGCTATAGCAAAAACGAATATTCGTACATGAATACATATGCAAGTGTATGTAAATATACAAGCAACGATTAATTTTCGAAAGATGATTTTTGAGCGAAACTGTAAGAAAACGATGTGTTTTGGAACGAAAATAGTTACCAAACGTTAAAATTTTTATTTTTAGAATAGAAGACTGTGAAACTGACAAAAGTGCGGCGCCATATTGCGTGCTTGTGTTTGGTTACTGTTCTGGCGCGTGGTCAAGAATTGTTATATTTAATTAAATACCATGTCCGATAATCAGGTGAGATTTTTGATTTTAACGAGCAATTCATCGGCCGACATTTCGTAATATAAACATAACGCAACATTCGAATGTTCAATCATATTTTGAACCTAATCGGTCTAACCTTGTGCATTAGGAACAAAAACCCGAAGCCGGCCCAGGTGACGCGAATTCCGAATACATCAAGCTTAAAGTTGTTGGAAATGTAAGAAGTTGATATTTTACGTCTTTACGTTCACGGTCTACTTCAACGACTCTCCAATGACAATTTTGTTATTCCCACTTTTTTTTTCTAGGACAGCAATGAAATTCACTTTAGGGTAAAGATGACCACTCAAATGGGTAAACTCAAGAAATCGTACAGCGATCGTGTGGTTGGTTCACTTTCCTAAATAAGCTAATAATATCGTGCAGTTAGTTCACTTTCCTGAGTAAACTGTGTTTAAATATCATCGATTGATAATTCACTTTATTTCAAAAAAGCGCGTAAATTTTTTTAGATTTTTCGCACATGATACGTGATAACTAAAATCGTTTGTATGGTAAAAGTGTACATTAAAAAGTTCGTAGAATTGTACATTGAATCGTCGAGATTAGAAGACCTTTTAAATCTTATATTTTTACCTTTTAAATCTTTATTAAAGATACAACTTATTGAAGTATTTTTGAATTTTATAAAGGAAAATAATGATTTTATTTCGAAGTAATGTTGTTTTTATATCTTTTAGAAAATATACGTGTATTTATATTTGTAGGGTGTTCCTATGACGTCACTCAGGTTTTTGTTTGATGGTAAAAGAATTAATGATGATGAAACACCAAAGCAGGTAAATTTCTAAACTTAACATTTTAAACTAATCACTGCAGAAATATTTAATATACTTAATTCGATAAATTAAATATGATAAGTATAACGATCTTAAAATTGTTTCTTTAGTTGGAAATGGAAAATGATGATGTTATTGAAGTATATCAAGAACAGACAGGAGGTCACTACTGAAGAAATTTATTCAGTTTTAATATCTTCTAAAGTGAAAGTGACTATCGTAAAGAAATGGACAAGTTTATCAGTATATGTATATGTATGTTACAAAACATGTAATTTGGTTTTTTACGTAACATTTTGATGTGCTGTTCTACATTCCTCTAATAACGTGGCAAGTTTTAAAACTATCAAGTCAGTTTCATACAATGTACATGTTCATCCAACAAAAGCAAAACAAAAAAAAAAAAAGAAAAACATCTTAAAAAAAAAGAATTATGCCTTAAATGCCATAAATTTTGTCCATTAATTAGTATTTGGCTGTATATTTAGATTTTATGAATTTCTAAATTCATAGATTTAGATCACAAAAATTTTCAAGTTTTAATTTCATTGCTAAAGCACGACAAATATTGTATGATGTAAACATGATTTAAATGAAATTGTTGCGTTTAAGGTACGTCTATAATAAAAAAAATAATTGTAATATTTTCTCTTTGCTTTTTTTTATATAATTTTAATACAGAAGTATTTTCTACTTTGACTAGCATAAACTGATATGAAACAAAATTAATTTTCTTTTTGGACAGTTATAAAGCAATCAATTCAGTGTAAATAATGTGGATGCTTCTGGAGAACTTGTAGATTTCGATTTTTATCATAAGTATCATAATAATGGAAAATTTAAATTATACAAATCGATAATAAATTACAGCTATGTAATATTTTCCATATAAATGTCGATAACATTTTTATTTAAAAAAAAAAATTACTCTTTAATTGGACAAAGATTTACAAATTTTCTAAATTTTTTGTTTCTTAATTTATAACTTTTGTTTGAAGCAATATAATTCTATATAAGCATCCTCATTACAAAATATTCATTCATTAATTTAACAGGGCAAAATTTTTATAAATTGTAATAAAATTTATTCTTGTACAGATAAGTAATATAGTTTTTGTTTTCATTAATAACGTGTAAAGATTAATTGGCATTTTTCTTTCACTATTGTATTTTTAAACATTTGCTTTTTCTTAAATAACGGAAGTAATTTAAGTAGACGTTTCCATAGAGCAAATAAGTAAAAATAATAGTTACATTACTTTTAGTGATACTCTATTATGAAACTTGTAGCAGTTGTTAAATAGAAGAATAACTGAGTAATAATAAAAACTAGACTCTCATTTTCGTAACAAAGGCAGAAAATGATTTTGATATAAATATTGTAATAATCGTTAGTAAAATTACAGTACAGTAAAATTGCATCTACGTTTAGCTTCATCGATTTTACAACATGTTTGCATTTGCCAAAACCATAAATTACTTGTAATAATTATCTAGAAAATAAATGATTCTTCATCTTTCTCTATTTAGTTTACATACCGTTCAAGAAGTAGTGAAACAAATAAAAATACTTATGGATTAGACGGCAATCTTTTCGTTTAATAGAATTGCTTTTATTTATACATTGAACAGAATTGATAATTGCTATTATTATTTATTTTTTAGCACTTCTTAACGTATTATTTGCAAATTTTTAACATTATAAGCGGACATTCGTAAAAATAATTAACTATGTACAGATCGTCTTGAGTTAACTAGCAATCCTAAATGTGGCATCCTATCATTATTACACATTTACAGTGATCTATAATCTGGAAGAAGCAATTTCTTGTCTGTGTAATCGTAGAATAATAAAAATTGAAATCTTAAACGAAAATTTTTTGTTAAGTTCCAATAATCAAAATGCACAACAAGATTTAAAATCAGTTTTTAATTAAAACTGTTTGCATATAAATTGCTTCTTCAAAAACAATAACAACTTAATTGCCACAGTTCAAATTACTTAACATTTATGCACCGGTGCGAAAAAATCAACGAGTAGATAAATAGTTCGTTTGATAAAATGAGTTTATAAGTTCATATACACAGCCCATAAATATGCATACAGAAAAATAATGCATTAAATATTGTCTGAATCTCAAGTTCACTGATTGATAATAATTTTCTATAGTTTCTCATGAACTGTTGCAAAAAATTCACATTATTAAATTAGAATAAAAACTATTTTTACAAGAGAAAATTTTACAATACCGTTTATGGTGTTAATAACAATCTCACTTATTACTACATTGCTGACTCTGGATTTTTAATAATAAAAACACATGTTAATTTGATAATCCAAACATAATTTACATATCATTCTTGTTAAAAATACGAACAAATATAGAAAAGAAAATTACTCTTTAAAATCTCTGCCAATTTAACACAAAGAGTTTCCCTTCACCTTCGAATTAAAAATTCATGTATGATCAATATTTCTATCTTGCTTGTATAAATTCAGAATCAGAATAAACGAGTGTGGCGAGTTATAACAAAACAAATATAAAATCGAGTCCATTCTTAAATTTATCCAGAAACAAAGTCCTTATAAAGACATCAGTCTTTGATTTTGTCATGTTTCTAATATAACCTTCAATATTTTCCTTCGTTTACTAATGAATTATAAAATACTTTATTTCTGAGTAAACAGAATACAAAAAAGAAATATTTGAAATAAGATTTTTCGTCAACAAAAGTAATTGTGATAATAAATTATAGAATATAACGGATTTTTTTCTATATTTTTCCTACAATGAAAAAAGCACACAATAAATTCAATTTATTTTGATGGAAAAAAATTATAATTTCGTTAATAGTATGATATTATTTATCTTCAATATAATTTATCCGATTCTTAGTATAACCGAAATTTCGACTAAGAAATTCAATAATATTTGTCTCTTAAGTACAAATGCTACACACTAAATAAGTACTTTTTTTTTTTTTATTAGGACATAATTTATATGTATATACTTAAATAGAATGTACAATGTATAATTCAAAACATACATTTCTTCGAATATAATCTTTCATGTATTGTGACTATAAACAATATTAATTCAGCTCTCACCTCATTTTTTTTTTTTTTCTTGTAATACTTTCATTCAATATTATGTCTACTTACGTCACTGCGTCATAATAAATATAATTATCCATAAAGTGTATTAGAGCAATCTGTTAATTCTTAAAGCGATGTTATTTCTTGGCGAGGCATTGTATGGAAATAAACCATAAGTTGAAAGTTTCGTACTCGTTTCAGATTTCCACTTTTCAACACTGTTATAGTATGTCATGATGCCATACCCATGTTTTTTTCGTATGGTCAAATCTATGCGCTAGCCATTGCTGTTCTAATAATTGGTATCTATCTTGATTTAAATATAAAGGTTTCCCGCGTCTATAAAGAGAAATAAATAAATTAATTAATTAATATCCTTTATAAATAAAATAATACAACAAAAATTCAAATTTAATTGTATTTAAAAGTAGACTGTTATTTTTCAATATCTTATCTAATTTAAAGCAGCATCCTTACTTCAGATCTCTATCTTCTTCCTCAAAATCATCGAGATATAAAGATCCCCATAAACAAACACGTTGACCTCGAATTACTACAATATAGGTTGATGTTACCACCAGATATATACCAGTTCCACCTCCGCAATCTATCGAATGCTATAAACCAGAAAAAGATTATGTTTGTATAACTATACTTCGTTATGATTATTTATAATATTTATTATAATTTCGCAATTATGCTTTGCTCGTAAAGTATATATGTAGTACTTACTTGAACAACTTCGCATACATTCCACGGCTTGCGATTTGGTTTTAAACAAACGATGGCACCACATAATAAGCAAATACTAATCTCCTGCGGAACTGAATGACCTTGACAACACTGTCGCCCATGATAATACTAGAAAAGGAAACAAATGTATTACAGATACAATATGTAACATGTACAAGATAATACGTTGATAATACATACCGTGAAAATCTTCTCATATTCCCTTGGAAGACTAAGTAGCTTGGGTACCTGCCATGATATGTGCTGTTCCATAACCAAATACCTGCTTGTATCACTTTTATTTACAGAAGCAAGGAACTGATCGCACCACATACGAGGCACTGATACACTACTCTCGCTATCTTGCCAGTTCAAAGCTATAGCTGAATTAAACATATTCCAATCCATACTTTCTGAAACTAATTCCAAATAATGAACTAATCTCGCAAATTCAGCTTCTGGGGCTCTAATTATAGGTAATGGTTCCTCATATAAGTGGTAACGTAGTAATGCAGCTATTCGTAAAAATGGTAAGCACATAAATTGTATCTGAAATAACATGATTATGTGACAAAAAGTATCTTAAGGTCGAGATAAAAATTGTGAATTGCATTAATTTACATCTACCTGTTGTTCAATACTATGCATCTTATCTCGTGCATATGGGGTGCATGATGAAGTGGAGGGATCATATAGTACAGTATCTGCATGGTAAAGTGGACTATTACTAAAATATTCAATAATTTTACATAATATAGTCTCAGAAGACATAGAACCACGCTCAGCACATTCTCTTCTTAAAAATGAATTTCTTTCTGCTTGTGTGAGACCACAGCTTATTTGTACTATAACTTGATAATACAATAAGTTGTAGATAATTTTTACTACACTAGAGAAATACGCTGAAAATAAATAATTCAGTTTTATGAAATCATAAAAAAAAATACATTTAAAGATGAATTTGCATACTTACCTTGATCCACATGCAAAGGTAGCAATAATATAAACTGTATAAGAAGAGCAATCGGATCTCTGAGAAGTAGAGGGACTTCTCCCTCGTGTAATGTTAAAGCGAATGGAGTGCATAACTGTTGCCATGTGTGTTGTACCGGCCAGAACATACACAGACGTGCGCTTTTTGCCAGAACGTGGAGAAGAGCAACTTGAAAGAAAATATTATTAATGCAAAATTTACCATTCTAGTTATTTTTAATTATTATTAATGATAAAATGCCAATAAATTTACCAATGCAATCACGTTTTGGCCTTAAAGGTATCGTAGTGGGCGGTGGAATACACAATGATCCACCACGTTGGACAAGTTCAATTTCGAAATTAGTTCGTGCTATAGAAGTTATGAAAACAAACAAACTTTTGTAACTATGCTGTTGTTGACACTTGGAATTTGTGCACCTTGTCATATCCTGTACTGCTTTGTGCATTGCTTCAGATAAAAATGTTCGTCTCTGTAAGTAGTATGTTGCGTTAATTGCAAAGAACAAATAAAATTGTAAGCAAACAAAGTTTTTGAGATACTTACCGTTAATGGATTTCGTTGTACTTCTTTCAATAGATTATTTATCTCCGGAAGTATCGTAGTAAAAGGGACATAAGGAGATCGTACAATTGCTCCACGCTTCCCCAATTGCGGGGAAAGTGGAAGGAAACAATTAGCTAATTGCCGACAAAGTGGACACAGATATTCGCCGCTATCTACAGCAAGAGAAAGTTGTCTTTGTTGATGATCAAGAGACTTTACATATGGCAATAAACAATCTAAATGTAAGTGATGTCCACACGTTTGCACGTACACTCCACCTTCCCAACCTAGATTAACGGATAATAGCAACGAAATCTGTAAAACATCAATGAAAATGTATATAAATTGTTTCGTTGCTTCCGGCGAAATTAATAATTCATAAATTAAAATTTAAATATTTACGGTATCAAAATGTCGGTCCATTACATCCATTCTACGATCAAAATAGGCACCACGTGTATCACACTTTGGTATAGGAGGATCATCGTCAGAAGTAGGTAAAAGCAGTCTATCTGGTTGTTGCCGTTCATGACCAATAACACTTGTTCCCTAAGAATAGAATTTATATAAAAATTTCTACAAGTAAGCAATAAAAATTAAATTATATGAACTTAATTACTTGAACTAATACAACAAGACCCATAGGATTATCTTCGGTACTAGGACTACTTTGACTGCAAATAACGCAATCATATTCTTTTTTGCTAGTTAATTTGGTCGCATTGTCTTTTTGATCCCAATCCATACCAGATACCCCTGCTTCGTCTAAACAAAAAATTAAAAATTTTATTTATTTCTCATTTAAACATATTAAGTCAAATTTATTATATTTCACATTATTCTAACTTTTATATCTTACCTGTTTCCATTGCTTTTTCCATGAATTGCTTTCGTTTATTGGCGAACTCAGCCATTAACTTCTGCTGCCTTTCTTTCGCCCGTCTTCGTCTCTCTTCTCTTTCTCTATCTTCTTTCTCTCGCTGTTTATCTTCGCTTTCCTGCATACTTGGCCATAATTTGTTCCTAGCTTCATTTATAGCATCTTTGCACATAGGATCTAAGTTTGCTATTTTGTTCAGTAGTTGCGAAATAAAGAATGGACCATCACCAATTCGCGATTCTGTTGGTTCTATGGTTGAACTACTACTAGCTTCACTATCCATCATTGTACTCTGTTCGGGATTGTAACTATCCGGAACACCTGACAACTGTGAGTGCAATTTTAACAATAATGTGATTATACTCTCGTCTACTTTCACAGTTTGTGATTGTAATGATCCACTCTACAAAAAAAAAAGAGAAAATTTATGAAATGATAAATTAATAAATACAACGCTTGATTTATCAAAAATATATATAAATTACTACCTGGGCATCTCTTCTTTTGAAATGTTTATGCGAACTTGACGTAGATGGAACAATTTCTGTTGTCGTTACTCTAGAATTACTGAGTCTTGAGTATACTGTTGTTGCAGCAACTATTTCATTGCCAGCCATAACAGCAGGCCGTTGAGGTGCAGGTGGCAATGCAGGTTGAGTACCGATATCTATATATAATTAATAAAGATTAAAAAGAAAACACAAAATTGTTAAAAAGATATGATGTTCTTCTCTGAAAACATGCTATTGTAATACTACAGAAAATATTCATTTTAGCGTTTTTTGTTTCTACACAAAATTAATGCCTTTTCGTCAATATACTTAATTATGCGTAGTACATATGTGACACAAAATACATAACATTGATAAGAAGGATGTAACTATGGTTAAGGTGAAAAGATTAAATAACATACTGTTTGATAAAGGATGTGATTCAAGGGCAAGGGCCATGGATTCTTCGGTGGATGATGGCAAAGCTCTTTGTAGAGATATTAAGTCATCTTCACTATTAGCTTCTGATATAGTAACAATTCCATCTTCAGGTACAAAAGTTAATTGAAATGGGTCTACAAAATAATTAAGAAAAGAAATAAAATGTTATTGTAATGTTGTATAACATGTCTAAACAACACCGAAACATCCATCTTCTAGTAAAGAATATACAGTCATATAAAAAATATGTATTGTACTTTATAATAGAATAGATTAAATATTTTATGGAAAGGAATTTTAAAGAGTTGTTTGTACATCAAATTTATAAAGCTTACAAGAATAGAATAGTTTACAAATATTTATTTTACAGTACACTAATTAAGATTTATTCGTTTTGTACGATTATTTAAAATATATGAAAATACAGAAACAAAACTTACCATTCGCTTGAGGTAAAGCAGGTAAAGAAGTATTCACAGCAATTTGTAATCCAGTATCATTACTGATAGTATCTAAAGATGGAAGAGCTAAAACTTCTAAAGAACCCTCATCTATTGCATCGTTTATCATGAGCGAAGTTCCCATTTCAGTCACGTCACCTTGAATTTCCCACTCAAAGTCGCCTAAAAAATTGTAAAATATCAAAGTAATAATTATCAAACACAGTAAGAAGTAACGTAATATAGTTTAATTTTACTTACTATCTGAATTAGTTGGCTCTGGTTCCTGGACCAAGATGACTTGAGGTATCACAGTTCTCAAGTTTTCTGATAAATCATCACTTTTATACCAATTACTTAAATCCATATCTTTTATTATACGAGGTGGTTCATCACTGGTATATTGACACAAAGAATTCGTCTAATCAAAATAAATGGAAATAATATTATTATTTTATAATTTTTAAATTCTGTTACAATTAATTACTTACAGATTTATCACGTATTTCTGCAGTAATTACTGCCATTTCTAATAAGTAAATAGTCAATGCCATTGCATGCTCTGATATATTGTGTCCATGTACAGCTTTATACAAAATTATTAAAATCATAGCATGAAAAACTCTTGATCTTAGTACGATTCGTGGATCGTCATATGCTGGCGAAACAGGAGCAGGATGTCTAAACGGTGGCCATGGAATAGCACTGTTTTTCAATTTTCCTGATTGTTTCACACTGAAATATTTACAAAATATTTAATAAAGGAATTATATATTAAGATAAATTAATACTTTTCTATATATTTTCTATATATTAGAAAAACTTTAATATAACGTTTTATGTTTTTTTTTAAATTATTTTTTCACGAGGGTTATTTACTATTCAGTAAAGCGATCCATTGCCATCTGGAAATCTCCTTTTTGTGCTGCTCTTAGTAATACATGTAAAGGATCAAATAATTCTTCCCAGACCAGACGTGGTTTTGGACCATACATTCCTTGCTGCATGTTTCCACTAGCCTCCAGATTAGGTGCTCTATACACTGCAACCTATGAATCATATTTTACAATTTATGATCAAAGAAATAAGTTTTTATTTCCTTTAAAGAAACATAAAACATACATCAGCCAATACAGATTCAAAATCTCTATTTTGTGTACTGCCAGAACGTTCTGGCATTAATTCCATTAACTGACTATGGGTTTTATCTCCCATAGACAATAAAGTAACCATTTCTAAACGGGACATTTCAGGATCAGATAAACCTACAATAAAACCGTATTTGTTATATATAAATTCTATGATTTATTAATGAAAAAAAATGACATAAAAAATTTACCTAAATTTGTCCGAACATTAACTAATATAGCTAAAAATGTTAAAAAACTTTCTAACATTGGTGTATTATGTTCTCCATCCATGTACTCATTTTGAGATGCTCTGTACAAACAAAGACTCATCTCTTGTTTTACATGAAACCTAATTAAATGAAATTATTGTCATTATTGTTATGCAACTTTGATGTACAATTTACACATGCATATATTTAATAAAATATTGAAAATTACTTTTTAACAACTGTTTTCAGAAAAACCTCTGGTTGTAGCTTCGTTGCACAAACTTGAAGCAAATAAAGATCTGCATCTACCATTGAATTACAAAAATTGCACTGTATGTACGTCATAATTTGGCCTTTTATTTGAAGGCCATTGCGCACCCACAATCCATTTAAAATTTCATAAAAGGCAACCTAAAATAAAAATATATGATCATTAATATACAAATTACATTGCTTTAATATGATTCATATAATGTTACATAATATTAAAGTAATCTGTCGAGAAGTTATTTCATTCTAATATCTGAAGGTATTAGTTTTTAACACATGCATTATGTGTAAAAGGACTAACAGTGTACGCGAAATAAATTTATTTCCTATAATAATTTAAATTATTTCTGAAAAAATAAATTCCAGGTACATAAAAAGACGGCCAAATCTCTATACGTTATCCATTACTTGAAATGAATTTGTACAAAGATTGAAATTTATTTAACATGTATTCATATGCATTTATCATCTACTTTTGCATACATGACATTGTTAACATGTAACGCATGAAGCATTTAATATTCAAATAGAACCGTTTCCCATAGAGTATATGATTCATAGATTCATGGTACATCCCCACTTGAATGACCAATCCCGTAAGTGGAGAGCATCCCAGCAACCAATAGCAGCCATTCTGTTGAAAATTTGTTGTGTGTCAGTTCATAGCAATTCTACATTCGATAAACAGGGGAGTACAAGACAGTTGCACAGTTTTACGAAAGTTGACGAAGAGCTTTACCTCGACCGATCCGTTCCACCCCTCCCCCCGTAAAAAAATTTGATCCCGTTTCCTCGTAATTAAAATTTGTGACAATGAAGAGAACAGTATGATCAAATGACTGATCAGTAAAAGAAGAAAGAAAAAGAAGACCACATCGGTGTTACTTGTGGAAACTGAATATTACTTTTCCGTTTCGTTGTCGCCGAATTTAAGAAAGATGACTACAATTAGCTGCAAGATCATTTTCATCTGCCTGTTACTTAGCGTAGAGCAATTCAAGTACAGCTCTCAATTTGGATTTGTGGACGTGAAAGATTTAATAAAATTAGGCTACGAAGTAGTCGGGTATGCCTTCGAGTCATGGGACTTGATACGTCCGAAAGATTCCGAGTACGACAACAGTTTGCCATTCATTCACAAAATGGAGAAGGAATTAAAAAATCGTATATCGAAGGTGTCGCAACAGATCAGCACGTTCGAGGAACATATGGACATACATTTGGATATCATCATGAATCAAATTTTGACTCAAATGCCGTTGCAACAAAGGCTGGACGAAAAGCTACGTATAGTCGAGCAATACGTCGGCCAGATCAATGATCTGTACAATAACTTCCATTTCTATACGAAAATGCCTGATAGGTACGAGAGATACACGTTAGAAGATTTTGCGAAAACATGCGTCTCCTCGAGGTCAGGTGCACTTCCGGACATTCTGAAAAGCATCCATCGGCTGTTCATTCCCTCTCCCGACGAGATCCTCAACAGAAGCATTCTCATATTACTGGCAAATCAAATGCAAGTAAGTAATTGCATGGATGCTTTCAAAAACACTAAGAAAATGATGTTTATCGAAAATTCAGAGAGTTAGAAATTTCTGTCAACTTTTAAGTGGATATATGTAAAATAATTCTTCTTTTTGAGCTGTTTGAAGTGGAAAAAGTTTCCATTTCATACGAATATCCCTCGACGAGCTATTAGGTATTTTAGTTCCTCGTAACTATCGAGGGATTATATACTATATATATTGTGCTGCAGGAGAATATCACGGTGATCAAGCGACATCCGACAATCTACTCAAATTATAAACTCGGGAGCGTAGATAACGTCGATATATAATTTTGTCTATTGTTGTTTTTATATTTGACTATCACGCAGGATATTCTGTAAGTGTCGCCACGACTCTTTTGTTTTTTAAACGAAATTATATCGTATTTAAATGCATCAGAGCAAATCGTAACGAATATCTCCAAGAAAAGTAAATATAACAAAATTTCGATTTATCAAAATTATTTGGCGCCATAGTTCGTGACTTCGTGAACTTTTCTAAAGTTTAAGAAATGCTTCACATATAAATTTGTCGTCGAGAAATATAGCTAATGACTTGGAGGAAGAAAGGATAAATAATGGTTTAATTGAAGAAATACTTACGTAACCCGTATTTCCTTCAATCTTTTTCATTCTTAAAAATAATTATCAAAGAATTGTAACGTGGTCGCTACAACAAAGATTCAAAGATTTCCTAAAATCTATTCCCTAAAGTGAATCCTTGTAAAAAAACGAGATCTCATTTTCATTTTCTTCAATAATCATTTTCAACAAAGAGACAAAGGAGAAAAACGCAACATTTCTCTTGGAACAATGATGTTTCCTGTAAGCGATTCAAACGCGAAGAGAACGGGAGAACGAAGAGGAGCATGCGCAGAGACATCTAACACCATTAAGCCTCGAACGATCCCAACTCAAGAGGGGAGGAACACAGGGCACAAATGACGGGACAATAACGCGAAATTCTTAGTAGAGCCTGAGCGAACGTGGAAAAAGTGTTTGTTGCGGAGGTATACTCTCATTGTGTCGGAAAAAGAAAAACTCGAAAGTGTCAATCACTTTGCAAACTACAAAAGGCTATTCTCGAGCGAATGTTTGTGCAACAATAGATGCAGTGAAGTGCATTTTCGGACATAAAATTGATGATCGGAACATATATATGTACAGAAAAAAAGAAATATAATGTAAGAAGACCTTTGGACAATCTATCAGGTTTCAATTTTTGCTTATTATAGTCGAAACGCTTTCGGTTAATCGTATTAACCTTTCACGGCCTATATAACTTCGAAACGTTTACTTTCCATTCGTTAATATGTAGACGGCGCCATTGGGAAAAAATAATGCCGAGATTGAAATGAATCTTTTTTTTTTTTTCTGAGATGTTGCTGAACTGATATTTTTAGAAAAGAAGAAAAGAACGTTTCGAGATCTCGTCTCCATTCTGTCGGAATAACAGCACCATCTTCAAGTTTCTCACATCGTGTTCTGCCGTGTCGTCTCGAATACTTACACGCAGGATTTCTACTGCGTGTAAGCATGTAAATACAAATGTGGCGTGTTGAAAAATATACTGGTACATCTTAAAATCGTTACATAATATTTCAATTTTGCATAGACATCGTGGCGAAGAAAATGTTTACAAATAATTTAACCTTTAGCTCGAGTGAATCGATTCTTTTGTACAGATCGATAATGATAAATATTTAATATAATCTACATGATTTGTTATGACGATTGTAAATGAATCTACTACTATAACGAGTAGTAAAAAAATTTCTATTAAAAACTAATTGCTTTTGAGAATGAACTCATTTTTAAGTAAGAAATAAAATATGCATGTGTGTAATAAGATTGATAAATGCGAAGAAAACTTTAAGAGAGATTAATGTTTCTAATATGGTAAAAACTAATTCCTATAAATTCATTTATAAATATTGTCAGAATTACTGTTTGATTCGTTGTTTTTAGACAAAGAAACATCGCTTTCTAAAGATTCCCGTGCAAGAGACGATGTGAGAAACTTATTATTGTGTATATCGAAATGAAAAAAAGCAAGTATTGAAAATATCGATTATTGTCGAAGTTGTCTAAATTGCCGGAAGAGCTAATAATTACACACGGATGTGACTCACGTTTAAGTGAATTAAACGTGACCTGCTAGAGGCAACAAAGTATTATCATTCGGGAACGAATCTCCAAGATGTCATACGTTAGCAATCTTTCCGCGAATGAAACGATATCATTAACTTTAACTACTGGCGGTATCTGGTTTTTAACGCAAGTAGTACAGTCGACCCTTCCTATCAAACTTTACGTGTTTAGTTATGTGTGTACATGTTGCACAGAGAGATAGACCAACCACTATCGTTCTAAATATGCAACATCCTAATCTTGGAGATTTCAAGGTCGCTACGCAACGTTATAAATGCAACTTTAGTTTGGTATTCTAAATCATTTTACAATGGTTGATTTGTTCCGAGCCGTGAGAATGTTAGGATTTAATAATTTCACGTTATTAAAAATGACTCACCGCTTTATCAATAAAATGCTTGGTATGAAAAATAACCAAAAGCAAGAGAAGGGTAGAAAATTTTCACTGAAAGTGTGACACATACCAACTTATCATTGTTTAAGTAACAAACACAAATTCCAATGTATCTTTGTTTGCTACGAGTATTATAGAGAGTCAACAAACGGCACGGAATGAATCACAAAATAATCAACAACTACACCCCTAATTAAAATATTTATCTTATTACATAATCGCAAATTCAAACCATTTTTCTTGGCACAAATTTCAATTTCCTATATTGAAGTTTCAATTTCAATATATAGGTATTGAGTACTGTAATGGATCAAGTATAAAGGCCTTGTAAATTCACCTCTACGTATGATTGAAGATAAGTCTACCCTATCGAAGGATCAAAGAAGAAAGACCACACAAACATGAAGAAACTAAGCATTCATGTATGCTTTCTGTTTCTCTGCGCAATATGGGTAGCAACGGGTATAAAGTACGATACCACGTTGATCGACGAGATGCGAAACAAGTTATTACGATTGGAGAAAACGTTAGAGAGGGATTTGTTCCACTCGAGGTTGCACGAGTTTGAAAATGACGGGCAAGGAAAGTACATATGGCTCATAAAAAGTTTCAAGAAATTTGGCGACGAGTTAGAGCGAAATTTCTCGACCAATGGCTCTGAGAATTTAAACGCGTTGAACCCTATTTGGTTGTGGGCTCGTACAGAGAACGAGCTAAAAGGAGTAGACGGTTTGTACCGAGTTTTTCGAATGATGCAACAAGAGATCGTCAATGGAGAGGCTGCGCTCGATATACCAAAACTGGTCGATTTCTTGGACACTATTCTACATGATGCGAACGCGTCGATCGTTCGCGCCCTAGGTCGAATCAGTGATTTGATAGTAAACGAAAAGTTGTTCGTTTCGGCTTACCAGGTATAACAATTACTAAAGCGAGTTGTAAGAAATTTCTAATCCTTTGCGAATTAGATCAACGAAGTAGCGAACTCCGTCCTTCTTTAATAATTAGCAATTTAAGTTGTGGACAGATTTTGTATTCTCCTTTTCCATTTATTTCCCATTAGGAAGCAGCTTCGCAAATTTGTAATGAAAATCAGTCACTTCAGCAGCTGCTCTATAATTTATACACCACGGTGACTCTGTCGGAAATTAAGGGTTACAGTATGATCCAATTTTCTTATAAACTGCTGCGGCTCTATAATCCAGGTATAACATAATAACTGTTGTTCTTTCTTTTTCCAATTTTTGTAATGAGATTTAAAAGTTTTATGACACTGTACATGATATAATTTGCAACTGCGATTTTATCGAATTTTTTTGCATATTTTCGTTTACTTGCTCTAGGTACTAATTTCACTGAAGAAATGAAAATAGTGCAGGAACAGTATGAGGAGAGAACGAGGGAGACTCTGCGGGCTGTAAAAACAGCCATGGCGTTTGCTCCGCGACAGCTTTGGAGATGCGATGCGAGACTACACAAATTAGGTACGTTTTCTTGCTTTCACGCGTTGTACGTGCAACCAATAAGTGAAACAATTGTTTCAGATAATACATACACCAAATTAACACAGTTGTTCCAAGGATATATTGTGAATGAAGTTGATTTGAACAGTGAAGCGACCTGTAGAGAAAACTGTGCTTATTACGAATATTCGAAAGTTAGTGGATGTTATCAAAATCTATTTTGTTCCCAGCAACGCAAATGTAATGGTAAAGTATTGAAATGCGAGTACATCGATTCCGATATGTGGATTTGCCCCTCGGTAAATTGAAATTTTTTTCCTTTGTTCAAAAGATAATGAGAGACATACTGTTTAATATATTTCTAAATTATTTTAGTCATCACAGAATAGCGATCGAAGATATGACTACATAGAGTACGAAAATGGTATGATATTTGGGCAAAAAAACACTTGCAATAAAACCGTAACCAAAGTCGATAGCTGGTGGCGTTGGTTATTCTGGCACTGCAGTTACTGCTTTTGCTATTGTGATGACAATACTATGAATTCTGATCGGTACTTTAGCTTAAGAAAAGTTGAATCTGATATAGCAAACAACAAGTGAGTGATCAATTATTTCAGATAATTTTAAGATGAGTTTTGAGATACGAAATTATTGGCGTGATGAATGATAATGCTGTTATTTGTTGCAGAGTCGTGACGGGAATCCGATTTAGGAAAGTGAATCAAATAATACACATGCAGATACAAGAAGGTGAATTACTACCACGTGGATACATTGATCAATCTACTGTACGTTGGAAACCAATTGAAGAGTTCAGTGTATTAGATAGAAACGTTAAAAATGGTATTGATTACCATACTTTATCGTGGGAAAAAAGAGGTTTAGATTTAGACGATTTAGTCCATGATGATGATGATTACCTTTTGACAGGTACATTATGTGAAACTATATTTCTTTTATCCATCTTTTGTAAACATCGCGTTTATAACACGTATTTTTTCAGGTCTTAAATTTCGAATGGTTGGTCCACGACTAAATTTAGAAGTAAAAATGACAGCTTTCAATTTCACAACTGGAAAATTAATAAAACCTTTAGAAAAGAGCCTCTGGATCAGTCATGACAACACTGACAGGTAAAATTTGTTCGTACGTCGTGAATATTCTCATACACTTGTAAATGTATTTTTGCTTAACTAGCAAAATTTTTTGTTTGCAGAACTGAATTGAAACTTGAGAATCCCGATATACCAATTCAAACACCTCTACTGGCACTACCAGACTCGAAACCGCAGCAATATTTGAATTTTGCACCAAGCGATCGTAAAAAAGATGCTGCGCAAAACACAATACCATTCCTTGACATTCAGTCAGTAGAATCAAATCCACCAGTTCCAATCGCAGGTGCTGGTATTTTTCATAAAGGCCGATTAGCGTCGGGTGGATACGTAGCAATGAGATTGATTACGTATGATTTTAGTAAACATTTACAAGTTGATTTACCTCCTTCTACAGATACAGTTATTGATGCACCAAATGAGATAAGAGTTATATAAATGTAATTTTGTTCGCGTTTTTCCCTACTCCTAAAGTATATAATTATACTAAGATATAGTTCATAAATATTATTTGTGTTATGTTCTTACTTTAATATGTCTTTCACTAATTTACGTTTTCAGTATAACTCATAAAATCAACTATACATCAATAATAATTCCTTTCTTTTAAAACAACTCTGTGTCAAATACTCTTTTTGTGCCATCTTAGCATCTATATATACCCGTTTTAAAACAACATATCATGAGAGCCAAATTCTTTGTATTTTTTTATACTCCTAATTCCTCTAAGACCTCTAATAACGACACTTGTTAATTTATAAGAAATTGTATTTTGTTATTTAAATAGGAAATTTATAGATTTCTTCCAGTATTATACTATTGAAATAAAATACTATAAACCTATTCATCACCTGAAGTATCTTCTTTATATTGTTATTTTAATACTTTAAAGAGAAACACAATAATATGATTCTCTATAATGTGATTCTCTGATGAATATAAATATACTATAAAACAGAGAATAGTACTTACCTGAACTCGTAAAGGATGCATTATTAAAAGATGTAACATGTCAGTAGGGGGCAATAGATCATTGAGTGTAGCTCCTTGTTGGCGCACAGCTTGGCACATAAACACAGCAAAGTATCGATGCAATGGTAGATGAAATGATACTTGTAGACTATCACTCTGGAACAAATGGAAAAAATATCGCGGCTGTAATGTCGCTAATATCCTTGCTTATTAATTAACCTACTTGCATATTTGTATTAATTACTTACCACATTCGGATGTGTGAAATTTATAGCATCTAGCCAATCTTGTAATGCAGTGAGACAAAATGATAGCACTCTACGAGTAAGAGCAGCACTTTCAGGACCACGCAAGTGAGAAACTAGAGCCCACATTGGATATGCACTAGCTTCTAATTCAGCGCTAAACGCTGCATAATACGTGTTAGATTCATATTCAACGTGTTGATTTAATTCTCGTTGATTCACGTTCATTCCTAAAATAAACAATAAAGAATTTTTAAAATATTTTTTTATGTAATACTTTAAATACTTTAAATTACAATTGTGCAAAAGTTAAATAATACCTTGAAACATAGACAGAAAATCGAACCACATTTCTAGAAGTGTATCATCGCTCATAAATCTAACAGCTATAGGTTTATGTGAAAGAACATTATTTAAATCTGAAACAATAGGCCAATAACAGTGTTCCTTCATCACCTGTCGTTCACAATCTACTACGTAGTGAAAATTTTTATCTGGATCTAAAAAGAAAAAAATTTATAATAAATCCTGAAATTTAGTTGTATTGTTAATAATAGCTGTACAAATATCACCTACCATGTAGAGTATTCTGAATCAATATTTTACTCATCATATATTTTAAAGCTATTACCATGACGTGCAACAACTTTAATTGATCCACCATTTTCAGTGCTAAACTTTCGTTACTAAATAACTGAAATATAAAATTCCAACATATAAGGCCTTTTCTTTATTATGAAGAAAATATACTTGCATAAATAACACTAACCTGTACACTGACATGGACTACTTTATTGCTTAAAGTATCAGGATCTGTTGAGCGTTCAAGCATCATCGAAACTCTACTATAATGTAATACAAAAGCACGAGTAAGTGCTTCCTTATATTCCGGATCTGGTAACATATTTAGCAGCAAACAAACTAATTTCTGTGGAAATTGATAAACGACTGTCCAAAACATTAATTCCTCTAAGAAAGTAGTATGTTGTAAATGTTCTTGTAAAGATGCACATTCTGAAACAACATAATAAAATATTTACTATATTTATATTCTGCCAGAACAATATGTGTATATTGATGAAAAAATATTCACCTTTATATTCATCAGGTGGTTCTGGATTTGGCAAAGATTTCACGGCATTTTGATATATTTCATTGCTGTCTTGGCAATAGCTATCATATTCTGGTTCTCCGGTTGGTACACTAGGATCCATGAGATTTCTATATTTTTGCGGGTTAGTAAGAGCTGATGTCATAACATGCCTCATTAATGCACCCATCTTATTAAACTCAATGAGCATTGTTAGATATTCATCCGCATCTTGAACTATAATTTCATAATTTCGGTGACCCACCGTACTAAAATTAAAACTAAAATTAAATTAAAGAAAATATTTATGCACACTATGCATTTCTTATATTTTTAATAACTGAATAAATATAATGATGAAAATATGATATACCAATTTTCGCGTAAATGTTGTATAAGGCGAAGAATTATTCTGGGCATCATTGCTTCTGCTACACACATTAAATTTGAAGGAGCAGCTGACTTATCAACAGCTGCTTTTGGACCATGTCTATCACAAAATCTAAAAGAACAATTCTATTAGATATCATACTTATTAATACAAATAATTATTAGAACTTCTGTTTGATAAAATTGTTACCCTGATTCCTTCATAACAGATGCATCGCCACAATCACAAGCACCACCTGCTTGACTTAAAAACATATTGAAATCATGACCATAATGATTGCCCTTTTTGAAACATTCTGTACATAGGGACATACATGGTGATATACCACATGTACGACAACGATATGCTACAAAATTGGGTGTCCAAACCAGTCCACATGTTGTAGCATTGTCGTACATTCTCACTAAAATGTTTATAAATATTTGATTTAAACAGACGAAAATTTAACATAACGTATGTTTTATATATATGTTCAAAGATTACAAGCATTTTAAGCTTACATAATTACATTACCAGGAAACATAATTTTTTAAATTATATTTAATAATTTTTAAAAGTTATTATTATTGGTTTAAAAAACTTTTATTTTAACTTTAATTTGTTAAATTCTATGAATTTTACTATTATCTTATTACAATATATTCATACATCACACTTTCATATCTATAGCAATATACATAAACATATATTCATTAAATGATCTTACTGATGCCAAATACGCAAATTGCACTATACTTATATCACAGATTTCAAAATCAAGTTCATAACAAAGCATGCTATTTAAAAGTGTCGGGCAATAATCATATTATATTGTATTTATAAAAACATACTTTTATACACGCTGTGAATTTAAGAAATGAAATTTGATAAAATAATGAATTTAAAAACATGTCTTAAGAACAATATATGCAAATTATACGTAATTCAATCATAATAGTCTATAATGCAATGTACGCAAACATTTATATACACAAATACATTTACGTTTCTCAAAAATATGATTGATGCAATAGCATCGATAATGATCAATTTGTTCAATTTGCAAGATATGTTAACAGATAAGATTCAAAAGAATTCCATATTGTGCAATTGAAGAAAACAAAATACACAACGTACCTGTCTTGGCGAACTTCTCCGGCGTATGACCACTAGCTATCAACCATTTACACCAGTTAATAGTTTCCCTGTCAGTAATAACTTCACCAGGATTCAACAGTTCATCCAATAATTTACTAAGAGACGGTGGACATCCACTGTCATTAGCTAAGTTAACACATTCTGCATGTATGTGAGCAGCCGTGTAACTTTTGCTTCTGTTCCTTAATATCTCAGTGCACAAGCTAGACATCGAGAACATCGCGGAAAATTCACCTCGCGCAGCGAGGATACCATTGATTTTGGTACGTGTTGCGGTATCCTCCGAGAATGACGAGCGTACGATGTCAGATCTTGGCTTCGCCAGCTCGTCAAATCCCGCGGGAACACCTCAATGAATCTGTAAATAACGAAGATAATAATTAGTGCCGTTGCAATTTAGCACGGACCACGGTAAAAAGCGTAACCTAGAAATAACAGCGGAAAACAAATGAGCAAGTCAAGTCCGGAATCAGGTGATGGACCGACGTTAAAATTTTCAGGAAGCCGACAGGACAGCCGATAGTTGCCTGACGACTTACACCTTTTTGCGTGTTTCTCGTGTGAAAACTTCCGGGAAACCTTTCAAGCAGAGGCGATCCGCGGACCAGGGAATTCTCAACAACCTCCATATCAGCGAGCATCTCCCGTCAACTTTGTCTTTCTCATTAATTTTGACAACATGACGAAAGCAACAAGGGACCGTTACCTTATACCACTCTCCTGAACCGTGGATTATTATCAACTTTCAGATTTCGTGTTTCGACAAGTACACCGTACTTGCACAATAATCGTCGCTGATACAACACACATTTACACTTACCGAACAGTAAAAGCACTCGATCACCAATCGTTCGATCAATTGACCACAGCTTATATTCTTCTACGGTACGTCTTCTTCTTTCTGATCAAGAATTTGTCTAGCTTATCGACAGAACAATGACAGAATACCAGATCTTGGTTTTTCAATGAGTGCGTTTTATCAGAATGTTTTCACTATGTTCGAACCTGTACGTATAGTTAATTCTCCTTATTACGGTAATTACAAGTAATATACACGGAGAAATTTCTCAGAGTTAATGGAATTAAGTGATATTAAAAATACCATTTGGAACATGTTATTTATTCACTTTATTTGTAACCCAATCATATGTGGTTTTTTGGACAAATTGAATCTATTGGAGAGTGATACTTCTTGTGTTTATCACTGTTTCAAAAGAAATAAAAAATTTAATATATAATTGTGTGTTATTTGCATTGAAATAAAGTTCATTTTTTGTACATGAATGTTGTTATTAATTGTTATTTCTTATAAAATAAACAAGAATTGTTAGCATTTATTTAAATCCCAAAAATTTCCAACCAGGGGGTTACAATGTTACAAGAAAATTTAGTATGGCAACCCTGGTTGGTATTGGTAACTCTGAGCTTTTCTTTTTCGGTCGGCAGATCAAACGTGTATGTTGCTGGGACAAACGAAGTTATAAATCGCAGGTAATCTCAGTTTTTTGAATTCATCCAGTACACATTAATTACAAATTAGTTTCTAGCTTTAATCATTCATTAATTAATGATAATATTTTGCGTTTATTATAACATTTAAGAAAATATGAAGTTTGTGGAATAGTGCCATTTTTCATTATTATTTTATTTGTTAATTAAATTTAAATCGTATTCGTTCAATTCTTGTTTGATATTTTATTCGAATTAATGATATTGAATCACTAACATGTATAAAAAGATAAAATTATATCCTTTAAATCTGTTTTGTTTCTTTCATAGGTTATGTTTCATTGACATTTGGAAACACGTTTTGAATACGTATTTTCTAGAAATAGTCTTTATTTAAAATTACATTTTGTTTTCAGCCATGGTGCGTATGAACGTTCTTAGCGACGCTCTCAAATCTATTAACAATGCTGAAAAGCGTGGGAAAAGACAGGTGCTGTTAAGGCCCTGTTCAAAAGTAATTATCAAATTTCTGACTGTGATGATGAGAAAAGGTAAGATATTGTTGAATTAGATGTTTGAATGTTTTCTTAGCTCTAGAAAGAATATTTCTGTATGAACTTTTGTACACAAACTATGTAATTTGCTTCTAACATTTAAGGATATATTGGGGAATTTGAGATTGTTGACGATCATCGCAGTGGCAAAGTTGTGGTAAATCTCAGTGGAAGATTAAACAAGTGTGGTGTAATTTCACCTAGATTTGATGTTCCAATTAATGATATTGAAAAGTGGACCAACAACCTGTTGCCATCTCGACAGTTTGGGTAGGTGTTTGTGTGTATAAATTTACAACAGTGTGAAGAAATTTATGGAATTACAGTAGACAATTTTATGTAGCATAATTGTAATTTATAAACATTTTAGATATGTTGTTTTGACAACAAGCGGAGGAATTATGGATCACGAAGAAGCCAGGAGAAAACATCTTGGAGGCAAAATACTTGGATTTTTCTTCTAATGTTTAATTCAATAAAAATTTCTTAATACTAAGAAAATTATTTTTCTATATTTATCAGATGTGATACCTACCTATATTTATCAGAGGTGACTACCTCTGTACCTGATTTTCAATCCCTTAACCCGGGATTACACGTGAGGGTCTAGTCGCTGGGATGTAGCTGCGCTAGACCCCCAGGTGGGTAATCCCGGGTTAATATTTGTGTGGTAATTTGCGAATTCATTTTTATTTTTCTTAATTTATACAATAGGACAAATGTAAGGAATATTGATAACGCAGTACAGTAATGTTCGCATTATTCGCAGTATTTATATTTTTAATTAAATTTGAAGACGAATGCTAACAAGAAATTCCGTCATTGGAGTAACATAATGTAGGAGAGCTAATTTTCATGTTATTTCGTTATCGTTTTATAAAAAGAGAGAAAGTTTAAACAAAAGTATTTTTTTATTCAAGAATAAATTTTAACGTGTGTGTATGTGCTAAAATTTGTATCAAATACTAACACATTTTAACTTTTAGGAAGCTCCTGATTGGTCGTCGCATCTTACCGTTGACTGGTTGAACGGCTTTAAGGCTGTTCGAGCATGCGCGTGGCCGCGATTTCAACTTTACGCTGCCTGTGAACGCAGCCGATGACGGTCAGTCAACAAAACTTTGTAATTCGAACGAAACTCACGGACGGCTCGCATCGCGGGTCTCGCGGTTGTGCAGGCTTTTACATTTCGCTAGCCTTTTGTAAATAAAAAGTTTCACGATATCATCCCCAATTCGAACGAAGGAAACGTGTCGAAGAGTTTCTAACAAATTTAACGGTGTTGCCAGGTGTTACCAGGTGAATGTGAACCGTTTTGTGCCGCGTTACCTGGGATTTGTCTGAAGAGACAACCGTACGGAAGTGCCCGTGAAAACTTCGCTTTTTACGCGTAGCGCGACCGTCAAGGAAGATAAGCGTCGATAAGAAACGCGAGATCAATCGTTCTGACATTTGGATTTCGATAGTTCAAACGTACACGCAAGTTCGTTACCTGTTCAACGCGTAATCGAAGCAACGTGTAATTCCTGCAAGAATTCGCAACTTTTTTTTTTCTCTCGTTGCTGTGAGACAGTTCTCTTGCCTTGTCAATTCTTACGTCTTTCAACTTATATAAAAATTACAGAAGCTTTGTTTTTCCACGAGTCTTTGCGCGTTTCACTCCGAAAAATGTCGCGAAACGTGACAACGGGCCGCGTAGAGGAATCCAACGATACGTAATGCTGAATCTAACGGAAGAGCCCACGAACTCGAACGATCAGTCCGTTGAAAGTGAGGGAAGTGAGGATCGATCGACGCGTTGTATTTCATCGGGAGTCGAATGAGAAACGGTATACCGATGTTTCGTGGCCTTTGGTTTCCCGAAAGGAGGAGGGACTGTGAGTGCAAGTAAAAGGAATGTTGTCTCACAGGTGTACGGTCGTAACGTTCATCCGTTACGCCTGCTGAAAACGTAAGACACGATAATTCGAGGCTGAAATTCGCACGTGAACTTAAAAGAGAGAGAGGGAGAAAAAAATGCAGAGATCGTGTAGGAATCGTTGGTACTGGCTCGCGTAACTTGGCTCGCGGAATTTCCACGACGTTCCCCTGTTCGTGGTGAGGTGAAGGTTGACGCGAGTTGGGCAAAAGCGGCGGAGAAATCAAAGTAACATGGAGATGCCGTGGAGGAATGCAGTGGCGGACCTGTCGACCTTCCTCAGCACGAGGACGCGGATTTTATTTGCCGCTGTCTATTTCATTTGGATCGCTGGCAGCGCCTGCGCCACTGGTGAGTTTTCGCGCCCATTTTCATGCCCCTCCCCCATTTTTTGATTTTCTTTTCGCGCAGCTCGCCACGCGTCTCTTTCGCGTGTACAATCCCCCCTCTCCCCTCCGAATTGCTTATTCCATTTCTTTGGGTCACGTGATTGTCCTCCACAATTCTAAAATTTTCAAGTTCTGAAGAAGTATAAAAAATATTGTCCAGCCGTAGCTCTTCTCGAAATATGTATTCGAACTCTTGTAGTTTTTACTTTAACCTCTTGCGCTAGTAACTGGTTCGCGGACCATAACGAGTGACCAAACCGTATACAATAATTCGTTTTCTTTTTTGAATTCTTCGGTATGTCACTGGATAGAAATTACTTTATTATTCCTTTTGCCTGGGCTACATTTCAATATACTTAAAATTGTGAAAATATTCCAATTTTAAGGCCAAAGTGGTTGACTTTAACGCGCGAGTATAAATATGAAATCTTTTTCCCTTCTCAGAGATAATACCGTTACGCGTATGGCGATTACCATTGCCATTTACATATCGCTGTTTAGGTGATTTACAACTTCATCCGCCAAGTTGTTAACGATACGAGAATTGATTTTCAATTTACGGATTAAACGTACCACGCGTGCACGCTTGGGGGTGCGACGCGAAATGCGAAAACGTACAACACGATTATCGAGATTTACACTAGCGCGGGACTTTCGTACGACAAATAATTCGGTACATACATATTTCGCTCTGTCGCCGAGGTTACCGCGAGGTAATTGCTGGTAGTTATTACGCGTGCAAATGGTATTTCGCTTTGTCATGAAACTGGCACGAGAACAGGATACGAACACACTCACCGTGTTACAATATCCGTTCAATGTGAACGCGCGTGAGGGAGTCGAACCCCTTCCCTTTCCCTGAAACGGGTCAAGCCTAATTCGCGGCGATTTTAACATCGCGAACGTTGCTGAGTAGAGCAAACAATCGCCTTGGCATTCGGCCAAATTGCTTTTATATACGTCTGTGCATGGCTGTGTACTCGCGTGAGTGACAAGTGAGCGAATATTTGCCCAAAGCGAATTCGGAGCATCTTCGTGCACGCGCGCGTAACTCCGCGCTCAATCGTTCGCTCGTCGCGAACCCTTTTGAATTTCGCGCGCTCGATTCTTCGCTGCTGGCTGGAAGTATTTGAAATTCGACGAATTACGCAAATTGGTTAGTTTGGTATTGATAGTTTTCAAATACTCGAAATTTAACATACCCGTTTAATAATTCGTATCATATGAAAAACTCAATTTTAAATTGAAGTTTGGGAATTATTGGTACATCCTGATCTGAATAATTAAATATTAAATTCCGGAGCAAAATCAGAAGATCTTTCGATGCAGTATTACAGTTTTACGATAAGTTTTACAAATTAAATTCGACCTTGTGAAATTTTGAACGCCAAAGTGAAACGCCCCCAATTACCGTACAGTTTCGCTTGATTATAGAGTAAATTGTGCGACTGATTTATTTTACATTAAATATTTTAATGTAAATGATTAAAAAGTTTTAATGTAAAAATTTGCATTACGTTAAAAATTTAATATAAAAATTTACATTATATTTAGAACTAGGGTAGGATTGTACAATAATAAAGTAATCGTATATCGTCAAGGATAATTTATCTAGAACGTCTCGTGCTTAAAGCTCGCGCGTAAAACTCATTTGTTAAACGGACGAGGAATTGGGGCAGATTCTCCCGCCGATAATACGGCGGTGACATTATTTATTGCAATGCACACGTAAGGCGAGACCGTGGCACGTGCTATGCGTATCCTTTCGGATCATCAACCAAGAGGTCAACGGTTTAACTTCGTTCGTACAATTGGCCGGATTAACGTCGTAATAAATCTCAATTAGGATAGCTCCTACGCTCTTACGAAAGAGAGCCGGATTTTCGTAGATTTTTATTTCCTTTCCCTTGTTTTCAAAAGAGCCGACCGTGGATTTCCGTGTGATTCCAATCGTGTGTGCATATCCTGGCTCCAAAGTAAGACTTTGAAACAGGACAAAAGTAAAAACACGAGAGACAGAGTTGAAGGTGTTGAAAATTCGTCAATTATTCAGTTAATTCTTGATTAACGCGTTCGAACTCTATTTTTTTATTATAGTTAATCTTCAAACTGACGGTTGAAATTTGGGATTTTAATTCATATCGAAATTATACTTAGGATTTTAAATTTCAAAATATCGAAAAGATTTGGAGCTGTTTGTACGATGCTCCAGTTGCCCAAATCGTTCCCTATCTCCTCTTATCGATGACGTGGTTATCATCAATGACTAGTGTTGTTTGGAAAAAGGCTTAATCAATGATCGCCTGTTCCCGTTATGTGAAACTGTGTCCGCGTTGGTCAAACATAAACCGAGAAGACTGAAACGAAAAAAAAAAAGTCTTCATAAAAGAGGGCCAACAAGCACAAATTTTCACGGATGTAGGATAAAATAAGTAGATCGTGAATATTTATGCAAACGTATGTATTTTTACAGAAGATAGGCATGCAAAGGATCTAAATGGATGATTATTATTTTATTAGAGAGTTTTAAAATTTTGACTATATAAAATTTTAAAATTCTCTAACAACAAAACAATCTTTCATTTAATTTAAAAATTTGAACTATATATTATTTAATATATAGAATTTTAAAATTTTAACTACATATTATTTATCATATTTTAAAATTAATTTAAAATTTAATGTATAGAATTTTGAAATTAATTTAAAAAATTTAATATATAGAATTTTGAAATTTAAAATTTAATATATAGAATTTTAAAATTTTAACTATATATTATTTAATATGTAGAATTTTGAAATTTTAATTATATATTATATATTTAATATGTAAAATTTTAAAATTTTAACTATATATTATTTAATATGTAGAATTTTAAAATTTTAACTATATATTTATTCAACACATAACTACATATTAATATTATTGTATATTGTATATTATTTGTATTTCATAAATAGTATATCGTACTACAATCTCTTTTAGACTCACTTTTAATTCTTACGTTAATTCGACGTCTAAATTAATACCCGTTACCATTACTATATCTCTGTGAATCGCGATATGAATTACAGTGTATCTATTTCGACATATTACACTCCCGTAAACATCCACGTCGTTTTACAATGAGAAGCTTATGAGCATGATACAGGATCGTGTGTATTAATACTACACGTGCAATTAAAACG